GACCCCTTTTTAACTATTGGCCCCACATTGGCCTTACACCAATCCAGTGGTACTATGCCAGTCATTAAAGAGTCCCTAAAAAAAGAGAAACAATGGCTGTGAAATGACAGATTTGTGTCTTCTCCTGGAGATTAAATGGTAATGTAATGCCTCAACTATTCCACCAACTGCTCAGATCACATTTTCCACAGTTCATGATGAAGAGGATCAACTGGCTTGAGTAAGTTCTTGAACATGGCCGGGCCGCATCACTACAACCAGCATGGAAGACTGAAATGACCTTCTACTGATTTCGTTTACACTCTGATAGGTGGGATAACTCGGGCAATATGAGAAAAAGGTGTATTATGGCAATGTATTACTAGGACTCCTCTAGAATGTGCGAAGTCTTTCCAGGAGAATGTTCTAAGCACAGCTTTATAACGTATGATTGTTCCAATACCATGGAATGTTTGTCATATGATATCCTGTGTATGTAGAATCCATCTATGGAAAGTCCTAGCAAGTCCTAAAGCTTTCATAAGAAGACGGACAGTCTGCCTTCCAAGTCATTTCTGGAATAGTCCATCTCCACCAACAATATACTTCACGTTAGTTACTGTCGGGTCCAGGAGAACATAGGACTGTTCTGAACACCAGAGACACACTTCCATTATTCAGGGACCATTTTTCACCAGCTCAGCTGAATTCTCTTCTCACAAAAGTTTAAAATTGTTTCTGGGCTGCACTAAACCATTCCAGATTTAGGTGGAGGAAGGACAGTGCGGTCACCCATCTGTGCAAGTAATTATAGACCTGCTAGTTCAACTTCTATAGTTGGGAAGGTACTGGAGAGTTTAAAAAAAATCAACATAGATGAGTTCTTGCAACAGACAGCATGGAATCATGGAAGACAGAAGTTGTCAAACAAATCTGATTTCTTTTTATGAGGGGGTGAGCAAAACCTTGGACAGAAGTGTGGCAGTGGACGGGGTATACTTGGACAGAAGGGTGGCAGTGGACGCGGTATACTTGGACAGAAGGGTGGCAGTGGACGCGGTATACTTGGACAGAAGGGTCACTGTGGATGTGGTATAATTGGACAGATGGGTGGCTGTGGACGTGGTATATACTTGGACAGAGGGGTGGTGGTGGACGTGGTATACTTAGACAGAGGGGTGGCTGTGCATGAGGTATAATTAGAGGGGGGCGGCGGTGGACGTGGTATACTTGGACAGAGGGGTGGCTGTGGACGTGGTATACTTGGACAGAGGGGGTGGCAGTGGACGTGGTATACTTGGACAGAGGGGTGGCAGTGGACGTGGTATACTTGGACAGAGGGGTGGCAGTGGACGTGGTATACTTGGACAGAGGGGTGGCAGTGGACGTGGTATACTTGGACAGAGGGGTGGCAGTGGACGTGGTATACTTGGACAGAGGGGTGGCAGTGGACGTGGTATACTTGGACAGAGGGGTCACTGCGTATGTTGTATACTTGGACAGAGGAGTGGCTGTAAATGTGGTATACTTGGACAGATGGGTGGCTGTGGACGTGGTATACTTGGACAGATGGGTGGCTGTGGACGTGGTATACTTGGACAGAGGGGTGGTGGTGGACGTGGTATACTTGGACAGAGGGGTGGTGGTGGACGTGGTATACTTGGACAGAGGGGTGGACGTGGTATACTTGGGACAGAGGGGGTGGACGTGGTATATACTTGGACAGAGGGGGTGGACGTGGTATACTTGGACAGAGGGGGTGGACGTGGTATACTTGGACAGAGGGGTGGACGTGGTATACTTGGACAGAGGGGTGGACGTGGTATACTTGGACAGAGGGGTGGACGTGGTATACTTGGACAGAGGGGTGGACGTGGTATACTTGGACAGAGGGGTGGCTGTGGACGTGGTATACTTGGACAGAGGGGTGGCTGTGGACGTGGTATACTTGGACAGAGGGGGGTGGCTGTGGACGTGGTATACTTGGACAGAGGGGTGGCTGTGGACGTGGTATACTTGGACAGAGGGGTGGCTGTGGACGTGGTATACTTGGACAAAGGGGTGGCTGTGGACGTGGTATACTTGGACAGAGGGGTGGCTGTGGACGTGGTATACTTGGACAGAGGGGTGGCTGTGGACGTGGTATACTTGGACAGAGGGGTGGCTGTGGACGTGGTATACTTGGTGTAACAGGGTTTGCTCGGCAGCGGGTGGGTGTGACCCCCTGGGTGAGTTCACAACACAAAACAGGCACAGCAAAACAGCAGTTTAGGTGAGAAAACAAATGTGTGGTTTATTTACACTATTTACATAAGACAAACATCAAAACAAAATTCTTGCCAACTTGGCCACTTACTATACAACAAAAAGCTTCCCTTGCTATGCACTAGGTGCAGCCTTGTGCTACACCCAATCCCTATCTCCCTGTTAATTTGGAGGCTAGTCACACAGGCATTTGACTCTCACCGCATGGACAGGTATGATGCTCCCCAGTCTACTCAGGCACAGAACAGGTTCCAGGTTGGAGAAACTCCCTAAGCATGCTGGGAAGTTTTTTATAGAGGCCCTAATGAGCCGACTACCTTCAGCTGAGCTCATTACTTCACTGCTGCAGGCTCAGCACTTCCCCCTAGTGGAACAAATCCACAAAGAGCCTAAATCTCAGACAAATATATCGTCCATCCAGGACGCAACCAGGTGATCTTCCCTGCCTACTGTCACATACCCCCTTCGTGTTTCAACCTTGGGGTTGTAACACCAGTAGCCAGGCAGGCATGAACCCGGGATAAAGCATCCACATTCCCCATCTGAACCCCAGGGCGATGCTTTACAGTGAAGTGGAATTCTTGCAGGGCCAGGAACCACCTATTTACCCTGCTATTGGTCTCCTTATTTTGAGCCATCCACTTTAAGGAAGCGTGATCTGTGATCAGGTCATAATGTCTGCCCAGCAGATCGTACCGAAGGGAATCTAGGGTCCACTTTACCGCTAAACACTCCTTCTCAATCGTGGCGTAATTTTCCTCGTGAGATTTTAGCTTTCTGCTGAGGTAGATTACCAGGTGCTCCTCCCCCTTCCAAACCTGGGACAGCACCGCTCCTAAGCCAACATCGGATGCATCCGTCTGGACCACAAAGTCTTTTGAGAAGTCCGGTGAGTATAGGACTGGCTGGCTACATAAGGCCCTTTTTAAAGACTGGAAGGCTGCTTCAGCCTCCGGGGACCACTGAACCACGACCGACTCCTTCCCTTTGTCAAGTTGGTTAGGGGCACTGCCAGAGAAGCAAAATGGGGGATGAATCACCGATAGTAGCCAGCAATTCCTGCTTCTTGTTGTTTGGACGTGGCCAACTATGTATCGCATCAACTTTGTTGATTTTGGGTTTTCTTACTCCTCTCCCAATAGTGTACCCCAGGTACCTGGCCTCTTCTTGTCCAATCGTACACTTCTTTAGGTTGGCCGTAAACCCAGCTTTCTATATCAAATCCAATACAGCCTGAACTTTTGGCAAAATGTGAGGCCCAATCTGTGTTATGGACAATCACATCGTCCAGGTACGCTGCAGGATACTTCTGATGGGGGCGAAGAATCTGATCTATTTTTCGCTGAAAGGTGGCCGGTGCATTCTGTAACCCGAACGGCATTCTTCTATACTGGAATGACCCGTCGGGGGTCACAAAGGCAGTCTTCTCTTTTGCTGACTTAGGTAGGGGAATCTTCCAATATTCTTTGGTCAAATGAAGCGTTGTCATGTACCGGGCTGCTCCCAGTCGGTCGATTAATTAGTCTATCCATGGCATGGGGTAGGTGTCAAACTTTGTAACTTTATTTAACTGTTGAAAGTCGTTACAAAATCGCCAGCTCCCATCAGGTATGGGCACCAACACTATGGGGCTGGACCAGTCACTCTGGGACTTCTCTATTACCCCCAAATCCAGCATTCTCCGTACTTCCCCACGTATTGCCTCCCGCCGGGCCACTGGGATTCTATAGGGTTTTAGTTTTACCCTTTCATCCGGCAGGGTGATAATGTCATGCTCCACCCCCGAGGTTTGTCCTGGCAGCTCATAAAAAACTTCTGTGTTGCGGAGCACAAACGCTTTAACTTCCTGTTGTTGAGTTTTAGATAGAGTGACTGCTATTCCAACCTCAGGAACCAAGCAGTCAGATTGCACTGGTGACAAACCCTTGGCAACTAGGGCTTCCCTGTCCCTCCAGGCCTTCAACAGATTAATGTGATATATCTGTTCAGGTTTTCGCCTTCCTGGTTGTCTGACCCTGTAGTTCATCTTGCTCCCTCTCTCAATTACCTCATATGGGCCATGCCATTTGGCCAGGAATTTGCTTTCAACTGTAGGGATTAGCACTAGTACTCCATCTCCCTGGGCCCCCCGATTGTAGACCCTCTGCTGCGCTAACTGCGCTTGGGCCAAATGTTCTTTTACAATCGGCATTACCTGTGCAATTCTATCTTGCATTTGGGCGATGGGCTCAATCACACTACGGTGGGGAAAACTCTGACGTTCCCAAGTTTCTTTGGCAATGTCCAACCACCCTCTTCGGTGTCTCCTATAGAGCAACTCAAAAGGTGAAAAACCCGTAGAGGACTATGGTACCTCCCGGATGCCAAACATCAAATAGGGCAGGGGTAGGCAAACTGCGGCTCTCCAGCTGTTGTGGAACTACATTTCCCATGAGGCATTGCAACATTACAAAACTGAGTTACAGCTATGACTTGCAGAGGCATGATGGAACTTGTAGTCCTGCAACAGCTGGAGAGCCGCAGTTTGCCTACCCCTGAAATAGGGTATTAGATAATCCCTTTCCATCTTTATCCACCACCTTCCTTAACATTTGTTTCAGAGTTTTGTTGAACCTTTCAACCAACCCGTCTGTTTGGGGAAGATATACAGAGGTGCGCAATTGTTTTACTTTGAACAGCTTGCACAGCTCTTACATCACCGTGGTAGACTTGAACAGAGGGGTGGCGGTGGACATGGTATACTTGGACAGAGGGGTGGCGGTGGACGTGGTAGACTTGAACAGAGGGGTGGCGGTGGACACGGTATACTTGGACAGAGGGGTGGCGGTGGACACGGTATACTTGGACAGAGGGGTGGCGGTGGACACGGTATACTTGGACAGAGGGGGTGGCGGTGGACGCGGTATACTTGGACAGAGGGGGTGGCGGTGGGCGTGGTATACTTGGACAGAGGGGTGGCGGTGGGCGTGGTATACTTGGACAGAGTGTGACTAGCCTCCAAATTAACAGGGAGATAGGGATTGGGTGTAGCACAAGGCTGCACCTAGTGCATAGCAAGGGAAGCTTTTTGTTGTATAGTAAGTGGCCAAGTTGGCAAGAATTTTGTTTTGATGTTTGTCTTATGTAAATAGTGTAAATAAACCACACATTTGTTTTCTCACCTAAACTGCTGTTTTGCTGTGCCTGTTTTGTGTTGTGAACTCACCCAGGGGGTCACACTTGGACAGAGGGGTGGCTGTGGACGTGGTATACTTGGACAGAGGGGTGGCTGTGGACGTGGTATACTTGGACAGAGGGGTGGCTGTGGACGTGGTATACTTGGACAGAGGGGTGTCTGTGGACGTGGTATACTTGGACAGAGGGGTCGGTGGTGGATGCGGTATACTTGGACAGAGGGGTGTCTGTGGACACGGTATACTTGGACAGAGGGGTGGTGGCAGGGGTGTATTTACCACAAGGCAAACAAGGCATTTGCCTAGGGTGGCATTTTTCCAGGGGGGCAGCAGCATTTTTAAGGGGGGCAGCACAGCCCCCTGAAAGAAGGGAAGTAAGAAAGGACACACACAGCATGGGGACCAGGTGGGATCTGAGAGAGGCTTGATGGTGCATGCAGAGCCTGACTCTTGTTCCCGGGGATGTCCGGAGCTCTGAAGGTGAGTGTCTTCTCTCTCGCCAGGGTGGGGGGGGGGCTGGAATGGGGTGTTGTTTGTCAATGTCAGGCTCTTATTGTGGGGGAGGGGGGTGTTTGTCAGTGTCAGGGTGTCTTCGTGGGGGGCGATTTATTTGTTGCCTAGGGCAGCACGAAACCTAAATACACCACTGCCTAGAAACACAGCCTCCCCCACCCGGACTACACAGCTCTTAGCCTAGAACACAACTTCCCTCACCCTGGACTAAACAGCTCTCAGCCTAGAACACAACCTCCCCCACCCTGGACTACACAGCTCTTAGCCTAGAACACAACCTCCCCCACCCCGGACTACACAGCTCTCAGCCTAGAACACAACCTCCTCCACCCCGGACTACACAGCTCTCAGCCTAGAACACTGACGCTCCCACTGCGGACTACACAGTACTCAGCCTAGAACACAGCCACCCCCACCCCAGACTACACAATTTTCAGCCTAGAACACAGCCTTCCCCACCCTGGACTACACTGTTTTCAGCCTAGAACAAAGCCTCCTCCACCCCAGACTACACGGCCCTCAGCCTAGAACACTGACTCTCCCACTGTGGACTACACAGCTCTCAGCCTAGAACACAACCTCTTCCACCCTGGACTAAACAGCTCTCAGCCTAGAACACTGACGCTCCCACCACGGAATACACAGTACTCAGCCTAGAAACACAACCTCCCCCACCCCAGACTGCACACAATTCTTAGCCTTATGCAGGTTCCCCTACTCATGGTGGTTGATTGCACCATCCTCTTGGTGGAAGCATGTTCTAGCAAACAGTGTGTGAGGATCAACCTCTGGAGTTATGAATATTTACCCAATCAGGTCAATCCCTGGAGGCTCAGTAGGTGTGGCTGGGCAGAGGTCAGCTATTTGGGAGAAGATGAGAAGACCTTCCCCCCTGGCCTTCCCCCAAGAGGAGGTCTTTGTGTAAGAAGTTGCTACTTGTGCTGGGCCCCAGCATGTGCTATGGGCCCCAGGTGTGGACAAGCTGGGCTAGTGAAGAGATCTCCCACTGATGAGCGTGAAGAGGAGCCAGGCACATTGTGAGGAGGACCTATTGCCTGCAGCTTGAGCTACTGTGGAACATTCTGGTTGAGGGTCAGACAACCCACAAAGGATCAATTGCTCTCATAGAGTCACAGCTTTGTTTTCTCTGTCTCCTCATTGTCAGGGTTACTTTGTGGGGCCCATTACTGCAGAAATTTCAAATTGTTCTCCTCACCCCAAAACCATCCGCCTGGACAGAGCCTGAGCTTGTTGGTGAAACTACTGGGACTGGTAACAGGGTGGGCAGCCTGTGAGTAGGTGGGGGGACCCGGTCATTTCCAGCAGCTTCTCCGAGGCTGATCGTTATTCCTGCAATTTTGTACAAACTTTCAGTAGCTACTACAGTTGTGGTTTAAAAGCTCAATTATGCCGCCATCACCGTAGTACAGCCAGACCTGAAGCAGAACTAAAGGCACTAATTCTTTTTAGTGTGGATGGAGTGGAGAGAGATGAGACCCCTGTCAGGTTGTATTGCTGTCTGTGTCCCGTTAGGGAGATTCATCCTCTGTGTCCCCGTTAGGGAGATTCACCCACTGTGTCCCCGTTAGGGAGATTCACCCTCTTAATTCATCCTGTTTACTGTTATCATCAAAAGTGAAAGAAAATCCTAAATTTTGGGTTGTCCCCAGAACAGGAATAAAGGAGAAATCATCCAATAGGAACACCTGGGATTTCTCATATTAAAAGGTTTTCCTTTCACTTCCACAATGGGACACCTGACAGGGGTTATAACCCTCCCCAACTCCATCCGGAATGAAAAAAAAACATTTGGCCTTCATTTGTACTTTCGGTAATAAACACAAGTTTCTTTTCTATTTTTTTTAAACACTATGACAGGAAAACATTTTATCTCCTGAAGCCGAATTGAAACGTTGATGTATTTATTATACAAGAGAAAGACAACACTGAGGATTAGATTCAGAAGATTGCTCAGACTAGCTGGGGCCCCAGATGCAATGTCTATGTCCTGGGATGGTGGACCTGGGACCTCACTGGGATGGAACTGGGTTCTCTCTAGAATCTAACTGGGATCTCACTGGGATGGAACCATGACCTCACTAGGATCTCACTGGGATGGAACCAGGATCTCACTGGGATGGAACCAGGTTCTCACTAGGATCTCACTGGGATGGAACCAGGATCTCACTAGGATCTCACTGGGATGGAACCAGGATCTCACTGGGATGGAACCAGGATCTCACTGGGGTGGAACCGTGATCTCACTAGGATCTAACTGGGATCTCAGTGGGATGGAACTGGGATCTCACTAGGATCTAATCGTAATCTAGCTAGAAACTAACTGGGATCTCACTAGGATCTAACTGGGATCTCAATAGGATGGAACTGGGATCTCAATGGGATGGAACTGGGATCTCACTGGGATGGAACCATGACCTCACTAGGATCTAACTGGGATCTCACTGGGATGGAACCATGACCTCACTAGGATCTAACTGGGATGGAACCATGATCTCACTAGGATCTAACTGGGATGGAACCATGATCTCAGTAGGATGGAACTGGGATCTCAATGGGATGGAACTGGGATCTCAATGGGTTGGAACTGGGATCTCAATGGGTTGGAACTGGGATCTCATTGGGATGGAACTGGGATCTCACTAAGATCTAACTTGGATTTCACTGTGATCTCACTGGGATCTCACTAGGATTATTTTTATACAAGATTTATACAGCTCCAACAGTTTCCGCAGTGCTTTACAAACATAAAGGCAGGCAGTACACTTACAATACAAATGAATACAGGAGGATTCGGAGAACCCTGCATGTAAGAGCTTACAGTCTAAGAGGGAGGGGTCAAGAGATATAGAAGGTAATAACTGTAGGGGATTGGCTGATTGACAAAATACATGTACAGCTGTTAGGTGGGTGCAGGATAGGCCTCACTGAAGACATGAGTTTTCAGGGATGTCATCACAGAAATGGTATTGAAAGCCATAAGAGGAATTCAACTGACCCAGGAAGGAGGAGTGGATTGGCAATCCAGAACAGAGCCTTGGGGAACCCCAATGGAGAAAGGAAGAGGAAGTAGAATTGTAAGCGACACTGAAGGTGCGATGGGATAGGTAGGATGAGAACCAACAAAGAGCGCAGTCATGGAGACCAAAGGAGTAGAGTTTTTTTTTAGGAGGAGGGAGTGGTCCACTGTGTCAAAGGCAGCAGAGAGGTCCAGGAGTAGGATTACAGAAGAGTGTCCATTGGTTTTATCCATTAGTAGATCATTTGTAAGTTTGAGGAGAGCAGTTTCCGTGGAGTGCTGAGAGTGAAATCCAGACTGAAGGGGATCAGTTATTCTCTGTGAGGTGGTTGCTCTGCTGGTCGTAGAGCAGGCAATCAAGGAGTTTGGAGGAAAAGGGGAGTAAGGAGATGGATCATGGGTGTTGTTAAGATTGGTGGGGTCTAGTGAGGGCTTTTTAAGTATGGGGTGACTAGTGCATGTTTTAAAGAATTGGGGAAGATGCCAGAAGAGAGGGAGAGATTCAAAATGTGAGTTAGAGAGTGAAGGATAGAGCCAGAGGATGACCATAGCATTTGGGATGGAACAGGGTCCAGCGGGCACGTGGTTAGGTGGGCATTAGAAAAAAGTTTACCTACCTCGTCTATAGTAGTGGGGTTGAATGTGGGAAGTAGTGATTGTCCCTGTGGATATGGAGTTTTAAGTAGGGGAGGTATCTGCGCGTTGGAGATCTCCTCAAAATTGTATCGATTTTCTTTTTGAAGTGATGGACGATTTTCTGGCCAGTGAGTGACTTAGTGGGTGGAGGATGAAGAAGAGAGTTGAAGGTAGAGAAGAGTTGATGGGGACGAGAAGCTGTTAATGAGAGTAATGAAATAGGTCTGCTTGGCAGTGTGGAGGCAGGAATAGTATTTCTGAAGGGCAGATTTATATTGGTTGAAGTCTTTCTGAGACTTATGCAGGACAGAATCCCCATCCAGCACAGGACCTCCACCCAGGACAGGGCCCCTACCAAGGACATGACCTCCACCCAGGACATGGCCCCCATCCATGTCCTGGGCCTACACCCAGGACAGGGCCTCCACCCAGGACAGGGCCCCCATCCACGACATGGCCTCCACCCAGGACAGGACCCCTACCCAGGACAGGGCCTACACCCAGGATAGGACCTCCACCCAGGACAGGGCCTCGGATCTCCACCCAAGACAGGACTCCAACCCAGGAGAGGGCCTCAGATCTCCCCCCAGGACAGGACCCCCACCCAGGACAGGGCCCCACCCAGGACATGGGCCTCCACCCAGGACAGGGCCTCCATCCAGGACAGGGCTTCCACCCAGGACAGAATCCCCATCCAGCACAGGACCTCCACCCAGGACAGGGCCTCTACTTAGGACAGGACCCCCATCCAGGTCAGGACCTCTACCCAGGACAGGATCTCAACTCAGGACAGGACCTCTATCTAGGACAGGGTCTCTGTGAACAATTTAGACTCCCTTGGAAATTAATCAGTAATCTAATCAAAGTGATTGGGAGCAGAAGAACTACTACACCCAGCATATAACATTAACCATAAGTATATAGAGGGACATCAGTATAGAAATAATACAAGATTTGTATAAGAGATTAATAACAGTCCATACATCCAATGTGCAAACAGGGATCACCAGCAAAGGGCCCAACAAAGTCCAGGCAGAATTGTGTATATATACCCAGATATATAGTGGTTAATAGAGATATCTGCAGATGAATGTTAATTATCTGGGTATAAATATTACGTTTTTATACAAATACTTCAGAT